ACACTGATCACCACGCTCCGACTGTATGCCCGTGGCCACCCTGAATCCTGGGACCTGCATGTGCCTCTATGTTTACTGGCGTACAGGACGGCGGTCCAGAAGTCAACCGGTGAAACACCTGCAAGCCTAATGTTTGGGCGTGAGCTCCGTTTGTCGGCGGATAATATTTATGGGTTGCCACCGGAGTACCAGGATGTCTCGACACATGAGTATGTGCAGCGTGTTCAGTCAGTCCTCCAGAGTACTTATGCCCGTGCCCGTGCGACCGACGCCGTGGCCCATAGACGGATGAAAGACTACTATGACCGACGTGTCCATGGTTCGCCTCTACAACCTGGCCAGTATGTGTGGCTGTTGGATACCGCTGTGAAGCCGGGCGAAAGCCGAAAATTACACAACCCGTGGACCATACGTTGTCCGATCGCTGGCTGGTCCAGTCGTCGAGATCGTGTTGGCCGCCGACCTACGCAAACACAAGCGGGTACATTACAATCGCCTGAAGCCCTGTCAGCGTGCTCCCAGTATGTTGCCGCCTCCACCTCAATCCATGAGCGCACCATCGTCCGCTGCTTTGCCGCCGCTAAGTACTGCGTTTATTTGGCCAGACTGTGGTGATGCTGAGTTTGCTCAGGCTGCTCCTGCGCCTGTTGTGCCACCAGTACAGCCTCAGCCCGTTAATGTACCAGGCCCACGTGACCATTTGCGCCGAAATGCTGGTCCGCCTGCCTGGCACCGTGACTACAATATGTAACTGGTACACTGACTGTCCGCTCTGGGTGACTCCAGTTTAATTTAGGATGCTATGGACTTGGATTGCGATAATACATTAGGCAGTTCATTTTGTACAGATTTCTAAGTGTGTGTGTGTGTGTGTGTGTGTGTGTGTGTGTGTGTGTGTGTGTGTGTGTGTGTGTGTGTGTGTGAGAGTGTGAGAGTGTGAGAGTGTGTGAGAGTGTGTGTGTGTCAATGAATGTGGTGTATTGTATGTGGTGAGAGTATATGTGTGTCAATGGGTAGGTGAGTGAATGTGGTGTATTGTATGTGGTGTAGTGTATGTGGGTCAAGCCCATGTGAGACAGTCCATGTGTGACTGTGCATGCCCGTGTGCGCATGTGTGCCGGCATGATTGCGAGTGTGTACATGCGAGTGCGTACGTGCGTGAGAATGTGTGTCTTATTTTCTTCATATTTAATTTGGTATAATTATGTCGTGTTGCTTTGAATTTGGTGTGTGTTGTGTTGATGTATTCACTTGAAATCGGGGACGATTTATTTTCGTAGGGGGGAGTAGTGTAGGAGTTGCATTTTAATAGAAAGTATAATTTTCGCAGTAAAAGAGTATTTATTTGTAGAGCTTGGGTTGATACAGATTCCTAGGTTCAAACCCCAAGATGGGCAGTTAGTTACATTTTTTCTCTCCTTGCGTATTTTGTATCTGCATGTTATTACCCTTTCCGTGAGTCGCTCGTGAGTAATGTATGAGTCGTGTATGGCTAAACCCGTATTTACCCGTATGACTGCTGCTAGTGTTATTGTTCTAGAACATTGGCATAATTAACCAATCACAGTTCACAGCTCTGGAATATTCTAGAATTTCGTCGGCAACCGGTTTATATAAATTACTGATTGGTTGATGACCTAAAAACATGGCTGCCGTTCGCCGCGTGTTTTGTCTTCTTGCATTGTTCTTTTCTTGTGCTCTTTTCACTTCTTATCTTTACTTGCCGAGTGTGTAACTAATAATTCTGTCCTAACGAGTATTCGTGAAACCACAAAGTGAGTGCTTTGTTTGAGTGTGTGGAATTGTCTCCGAGGGCCAGCTACTACACTATTTCCCTGGTATGGCACAGCGCTGCCGTGACTACGTGTCAGAGTGCACTACCTGCCGTGCCGCAAATCCTGCTCAACCTTGTCTACCGCAACCAACGCGACCTGTAACTCCCGATGGTCCCTGGCGTGTTGTGCAAATTGACACGCTCGAGCTTGGTACCAACAAGTCTGGCCGATATCACTGCGTTCTTGTCTGCATTGACACCTTCACCAAGTGGGTGGAGGTCGTCCCACTTGTTCGCCATGATGCTGAGTCTGTCGCCGATGCATTTGTTAGTGTGTGCACTCGGTGGGGTCCTCCCCATGTTATCCGCTCCGACAACGGCACCGAGCTTCGCAATGCCCTGATGTCATCCCTCTACGAGGTATTTGGGGTCAACGTGTGTTTTGGCGCAGTTCGCCACCCCCAATCGCAAGGTGCCGCAGAACGGTTCAACCAAGCGCTGTTGACCTTGGTGCGGAAGGTCCTCGACGAGTCCAGTGATTGGCAGGTCGACCTAGCTATGCTCCTGTACTTCTACCGCAACAGGCCCACAGTGTCACCGGTGTCTCACCTTTGCAAGCAATGGTTGGATGGCAGCCCCGCAGTCTTGTGGTGGATGCTACCCCAACAGATTGGTCGTTTCCCCGCTGGACGGAGGAAATACAGCGTCGCGCCTCAGCCATGTACGATCTCCTGGAATCAGAGTTGTCGTCCTGCGATTTTGTCGAGGAGCCAACTCAAGCGTTCTCGGCTGGAGAGTCTGTTCTCTTCCGCCGTCCACACCGGCACCAGAAACGACTCCCCGAATTCGAAGAAGGTTGGATCGTCAAGCGAGTCGTTGGTCCCTCAACTGTCGTGATTGGCCGTGGCACAGCAGAAAAACTCGTCAACACAGAGCTGCTGAAGCCTGCTGGAAGTCATTCCAGTCGTATCCCTGAGCCACTAGATGTAGCTAGTATTATCGATGACGAGCCGTTGGACCATGTGCCTTTGGCTGGTGTACCTGATGACACCGCTGGTGGTCGTCTTCTCCGCGACAGAGCCCTGCTCCGTGAGCCTAGTAGGTATGGCTCTTGAGACCACTATGTTCTCTGCCTTGTCCGAGTTTGGGTCTGACTCGTGACTCTAATTCGTGTTTTGGCCGTCTCTGACGATTGACGTTTAATAGTGTGTGTCATAAATTTGGTTCTTTTGTTTTGTTTTCTCAATTTATTGGCTCCTATTCTGCGATAATTGGTACTGTTTTTTAAAGTCGTTTTTTATCTTCTTCTCCTCATTTTTAGTGACAATTGTCACTAGGGGGCATGTACTAGTGTCACGTTGCCACGTCACGTCCTAATATTACGTGTGGGTGTGCTGTGCACGCATGCATGCACCCCCTGAGCAGATAGAGCTGTCAACCACGCGGTGTTCAGTGGTTGTAATTATTATTGCAATGGCATGAAGACAGTTTCGACTTTCTATTTCTCTTCCCGTTACTTTAATCCTATCATGCATTCAACTTTGTAAACCATATGAACTGAGTAGGTGTTCGTTGTGTCGGGTGCACTCTGTGTGCGTGCTTGAGATTCCCCGACACACCCCACCGCCACGGCCCGCTCCTGATCCTCTTCTATGTGTCTGTGGACACCCATTTCGTCGACCAGGAGACCTGAAACGACATGCCAAGTTCTGCGCTCGTGTTCTCACTTGAACTTTCCGACATTCGCTATCATTGCGTGCGCAATGGGCAAGATCAAGGTCAAGGTGGGTGGGTGTGACTTAGAGAATGAATGTGTGTGTGAGAGAGATAGGTCCAAGTCACGCTGGAACTGCTTCTGCATAGCCCCAAGTCTGAAGACTTGACAACTTCACGCCTGCACCCGACTCTTGCGCTATAATACGCGTCACCTAAGATACCCCTCAGAATTTCCCACCTTACTCCCCCTTATGTTCAGGCTGCTCGTTTAGGAGCCATCAGTTGCCTGACGATCGTACTCGAAGTAGTAATACGTGCAACTCAGAGTTGTGACAAAGCTTCCAATCTCTCTTGTAATACAGCAATACCTATATTCTGCCTGTGACTACGCACAGAGAAAGAGTGGTCGCAACTGTACATTCTGCATGTAACTGTTCGCATGGAATTATAGTGGTCACGACTGTATTCTGTCACCGCTCATAGGGAATTATAGTTTCCACAACAAATCCTGCAGTACGAAGCACTCTGCGAGCAGTCACGAACTGTATACTTTACACATGTAAATGTATGGTGATTTGTGACTGGTCATGGGGCATTTTGACTGGTAAAATAATTTGTGATTGGTCATGGGGGGGGGGGGGTTGTGACTGTTTGACTGGTTACGGGGACCGTGATTGGTGACTGGTCACTAAGTTCTACATGTATTCTTGGTAAAATCCTGTATCTATCATGCACGGGGTGGAATATAATTCTGTGTACAGGTTCCTCACATGTGGTTAAGGGGGTTCGGGACAGTTAAGCCTGGTTCACACTATAACGATTTTCCGGCCGGTGCTCCGACACCGACTCCGACATGGAGTCTGCCGACTGTGTCGACTGAGTCAGACGGCCTGTTCACACACGGGGAATGACTCGCTCGCAATAGAGTCGCATCGATTATCCATAAAAGCAAGATTTCATGGGGTTATGAAATTTTGGTAGGACTTTACAAAAGTACAAGAGGTCATGAGCTCATTGCTGTCATGGTGAAAAGCGTAGATCTACCGTGATTGGTCCGAATCTCGCTCCATCACGTGCAAGCAATAAAAATCGGCCGGCTTTTCGGCTAAATATCGACCAGTCGATACTTGGCCGAAAACTAGTGCGACAAGAAAATCGCCGCAGATTTGTCGGAACCCTGTACGACAACACAGTTCACACTACGCAATTTTCGCCCCGATCTTGAGGATTTTTCGTACGAGTTTATGTCGGCCGGAAAATCGGCCTAGTGTGAACCAGGCTTACGGCCCAAACATTATAATTTCAACATCAGCCCAATCTGACATCAGGTTTGCATAGGTACAGCCTTATATTTTCGCTGGGTAACATCAATTTTTCAATTGCCTGAATACGTCTTGCCAAAAACACAATTTTCCTTGATAACACAAAATATCGCAAAATCCCAAGATTGATGAGAAATCGTCCATAACACCAGATAGGACAGAAAAAATGACATACAATTTCCCTCAAACCAGTTAATACAATTAAACATTATTATTCGAGGTATTGACTAAGATGATATCAACAACAAAGAATGTACACTTTGGTTGACGATGAGATCCAGGTCGTCATTTCCTTGAGAAGAACAAAAAGACGCAACAAATTTAACTTTTAATATTTGTTGCAGCTTATTTTAGAGTTTGCCCCATATGTGGAGACTTCAAACACGTTCTATAAGAGAGAGAGAGAGAGAGAGAGAGAGAGAGAGAGAGAGAGAGAGAGAGAGAGAGAGAGAGAGAGAGAGAGAGAGAGAGAGAGAGAGGCTGTAGCTTGGGAGCTCCGGTATCGCGGTTTAGGGTCAAAGTGTTCACCCACCACAAAAATGCGCACCATTGAGAGAGAGAGAGAGAGAGCGAGAGAAAGAGAGAAAGAGAGAGATAGTTTGACAACAGGTCACAGACTGACAAGGATAATCAGACATTCGACGACCTGACACCTACATGTACCGTAAAGTACCGCCAGAGCGCCCCACCATCTCGTCCTTTCGTGGCCGCCTTGTGGAGGTGGACTCCTGTCTGTAGGTCATACGACACGGACCTTGTACAAACATTGCACATTTTGCAGTCAATCCGTACCCAGTTTACCTTCGAGCTCTACATTAAAGCATACCAAGTGTGACCATAGTACACGAAGGTTCTCACATCGTACAAACTAACTTAGTAGCATTCTGCCATACGATTTTCTTTCCTTGGCTGTAAATCAAGGTGGGGCGCTCTCGCGAGACGGGGCGCTCTGGCGGTACTTTACGGTAGTTCTAACAAATCTACGAAGCATTAACCTACACCCCTCCAACTTGAAAGACTCAGGTGCGGAAAGTTCCAATGAGGGGAATGGATGTGCCACGAAAACGTGCACGAGCTACGTGCCTCGGCGACAAAGAATTTCGAACGTTACGGGATGATGATGGCGAGACTAGTAACACCATTGGACAAACTGATCTAACGAGAACTCGAAAACGCAAGACAACTTGGGAGGCACAAAGGTATGTACAAATACGTCAACAGGGGAAGGTAAGCGAAGACAAACTGTCACAAACCGAAAGTACGTCGTGCGAAACCACTTGCTCATGTACAAAACTTGTCCATCATCGTTACATCAACATGGAGTTTAGTGATTAATTCGGGGTGTCCATACCAACTTTAGCATTACTGCACTGTGTAGGATAAAGTCATCCAAAATCACCAAAAAATGGGAGCTAACCAGAGCCATACATGATCGTTATTGTATGAATGGAATGCTGTACTCGATCTGATGTGCTGTCATTGTGCAGAACACCCTTGTCAGGGAGACGTGAAACTCTATTACCTGGCTAATTCTCCCTCGTCAGAAGGTCGCACTATGAAGGAGGCTCAGGATGCATGTCAGGAGAGGGCAACTGACGTGCCAGGACCGCGACTTAAGCCCTGCATGCAAGAGTTCCTCCAACTCATCGTTGTTGTTGATAAAGCTCAGTGCGAACAGCCCGATTCTTCCCCTTACGAATACGCCACGTGCGTGATCAAGGCGTTCAGAAGTGGAATTGCCTGGTTTGGATTCACCCGTTCCGGATACGACCAGACGGCCCTTGCCACAGATGGGGTATCATACCCTACTGACACGCTGCTTCCAAAAACCATCTGTACATCGGGCTGAGTGGAAGCCGCGATTGTTTGCATGGAGTTCCGCATGTAGTTCACGGAACTCAGTCCACCACATCTGCATGTTTTCCTTTGTGCACTAATGTTAAGTCAATATGCTGCTTACTAGTACATAAATTCTCTTTGCTAATTATACGTACAGCTGTTGTCGGTTGCTAATGTAGCTGATGTTGTATTGCAGTCTTACCTGATCATACCTGATCAACTTACATTGAACAGGCAATGAGATCGCTCACTGACCTGCATTGTATGTATCTATTATTGCAATAATAATGAACGAATAAAAGACCTTGGCGAAGCCGAGGTCTTTTATGAGGTCTGGTACTCCGCTTAGTTGATTATTGTTATTGCCGCTCCGGTGTCTATCTCAAACACAACAGGATTGCCAGCCAGACTCACACTCCACCTATAAGGATCCACGTTGGAACGCAAATGACCCGAGCAACTGGTGTGGTGCAGCTCAACGCTGTATTCCGCCGTCTGGTCAGGTGATGCGAACTCAGAGGCTCTCTGCTCAGAAAACTGACGCACAGCCTTCGTCCGGCATACCTTTGCGAAATGATTCGACCTGCTGCAGGACTTGCACGTCTTGCCCCATGCTGGGCAATCCGAGCGGTTGTCGTGCCATTTCCCCCCGCATCCGCGACATTTGCGAACGGTCTTACTGGAAGGACTGGGCTGGTCACGACTTGATGGGTGTCGCCTCTCCACCTTATTGACTTGGGGATGTTCAGGCTTGCTGAAGCTGCTAGCCCCGGCCATGGCTGCCACAGACGACATTGTGACTTCCACTGACTGTGCATAAGTAAGGAGGTCTGCCAATGACATGCTGCTCTCCCTGAAAGCCTTTTCACGTACCTTCGACGACACACAGTGTTGTACGACCTGAGACTTTAGCTCTGTGTCCATATCTGCAAACTGACAGTGCTTGCCCAAACGCCTAAGACGAGTTACGTAGCTATCAAGGGTCTCCGACTGAGATTGTTTCTCACGGCGGAACAAGGAGATCTCGTATTCCCTATTGCGCTTCGGACTGAAGTGAGCCGTCAGAGCATCCTTCAAGTCGTCGTAACTTGTAATACTACTGCTGTCAAAGGTGAGGTAGACATCAAACACCTCCTCACCGCCACCGTGCAAGAGCTGGGCTCTCTGCCGCTGGTCTTCCGTGATGTTTGCAGCAATCAAATAATTATCGAAACGAGCCAGCCATTTCTCCCAACGAGGGCCAACTGACTCAGGCGGTTCCAGATCAAACGGGTTCAATGATTTTACTGTGCTCATCATGGCAGCTGAATCAAGAACTTCGTCGCCAAATATTATGATCACACCAGAGCAGTTCAGGACAAGACAAAAGGGAACTGTTGACTTTAACATCAAAGCTAGAACGCCGAACTAGAACGACAGGGAAGCTCAGCAGCACAACGGAAATGCATGCGCGGCTGATACAAACTTAGAGTAGAGGAGTAGAAAGATAATGATCTATCACTTGAGGTAGCTCACTAGTAAGGATATCACACAATGTATGTGATGACATGCGCTAGCCAAACGTGCCTGCCGGTGAGCTGTGTACCTTGTAAAAATACCCCAAAAAACAGCTTTGTGAAGAAGCATTGAACAGAATGCTTTTGAAAAAGGCGCAACTTTCCTCAAGAGCCCTATACTTGCTCAAGTGGAGTCGGTTAACGTATGCACACAAATGGTGTTGCTATATATGGCCTCAGTGTAGCGACTTGTCTTTACGATCTTCCTATAACCTACGTTTTAAAAGTCGATATCCAGGAGGACTGAGGAGCTGGGGAGCTCAAAATCCCATTTTAGAGTAAAATTCTGAGATGGTTTCCCTTCATAGGGGCACTAAAACAAGAAATTGTTCTTTGCTGCCATACTGTACAAGTACAAATTTGCGTTCACGAAATCGTTCGTTATATCACTCCACCAGGAGATTTATTACGTACTAAATTCCGTTTTTGGTCGAGGTCTGTCACCCCGAACGTTCAGAAAAAAACTTCAGTTTGGCACAAACTTTAGTGACTTCATGCCCCCTAATGAATATAGCGAAAGATAATTCCAAACGAAATTTTGTACTTATCCAGTAGTCAATAGGTCAGTTAAATCATGGTAGTACACTCAGATGTCTCTTATGCGGGCACCTTGGGACCGGGCACTGCCCGTATCTCAGATTTGCCCGTATCTCAGATTTGCCCGTATCTCAGATTTGCATGTATCTCAGATTTGCCCGTATCTCAGATTTGCCCGTATCTCAGATTTGCCCGTATCTCAGATTTGCCCGTATCTCAGATTTGCCTGTATCTCAGATTTGCCCGTATCTCAGGATAACTCATCTACCATGTACTGTATCATAATAATAATTATTATTATTATCATTTTTTAAAGAAATTTATTTGGCAGGCATTGCACATGTTCAGGTTACAGGAAGAATCCATTGATAAAAATGGGTGGATTTCACAGGTTGGTAGTGACAAAAAAAGCACTTGCGCATACAAAAAAAGTTCAAATCCCCCAATTTCCAAGCTTTTTTGCCATAGGAACTCGAGCTGAAGGTGCCCGGTAGAGAGACGTGCCCGTATCTGAGGCGTCCGGATAAGAGACATTCGGGTGTACTAGGTTCTTCATTTGACCAGGCGAGAGTCTTTTCAGGAGTACTGTGAAAGCCATTATTCTAACCAGGCGCATATATAACGATTTCCCAAAATCGACTAGTTCACGTGTACCAAAGGTAACGATTTTCACTCATTCTCAACGCTCAATAGGACAGTATATGTATCGATTTCTGTATAACGATGTCTATTTACACGACAGATTTCTCCTCGTTAACTCGTTAGAGTTAGCACTTCGTCATATATATGGCTTTTACAGTAACATTTCCTGCTATCGTGGAGTGTGGCAGGTGAACTGTTCATGCAGTCGTCGGCAAGCGTCATGTGGTCCCGTCTCGTCAAATACAAACAAATCTACAACTGCTAAAACGAGAAATTCTGATGAACACATGTGGTTGACTTACTCAGATTGAAAGCACATGCCACAGTGTGCATTTGTCGTGCGACATGCCACTTCGCTCTCTCCTTGCTGTCATGCAAAGTGTAGCTGGGTGATGCCACATTGAGTGGTTGTTCATCATATTTCTCTACGCATGGCTTGTTTCCCTTGGCTGGAGAACCTCCCCTCATTGTAGTCAAAGCGTGATTTAGGCAGTCGACCTCATCACCTCCAGCGGGTAACCGTCCGCCTAGGCGCCTGCACTGCTCCTTCGCCTGTGACAAAGTTGCCGTATTGGCATACACAGCAATGTGAGCTCTGCTTTTCTCACACATGTAGCTACTCTCTATGCACAGAAAACAGCCCGTACACATATACACATACAGACAGATTTGAGCGAGAAGGAGGGAGATATGTACTTCCTCCAGAAACAAAAACTTTGTTACTTTCTTGCACTAAATTCCCATGCACAGAAAAGAGCAAGTGCACATAAACACGTACAGACAGATTTGAGCGAGAAGGAGGCAGATATGTGGATAAAGCATTGGGTGTGTAGGCACGCATATGTATAACAATTACATTATCCTAGTTCCGTTGTGCGAGCGTGGATTTATTTAAAAAAAACAGTGAAGAGAACCGCTCAGGCCCACACGTGCACGCAAACACATACACGCACATGCCTATGCACACATACGCGCGCATGCATGCATGCTCGCGCGCACACACACACACACACACACACACACGCACACAGACATCAGAATAAACAATAACAAAACAGCAAGGAGAGTAGGGGGTGCAAAGCAAGCCTGTGCTGGTGAGGCAAGCGAACAACACTGACCTATGGTTAAAGTAGCTTACCCGATTCAAGTTCACACACAACCTTGTGCTTGGGTGCTGGGTCAGATGTTAGATCATAAAGTTTTTCGTCACTCGCATACTGTAAATGGCCGTGTTGGCTGGCCAACCAGGCAAAGCTGCCCCTGGGACGCAGGAAGTCCTGCACGCACGAGGTCTTAGATGCGATCTTTGCATTGAACGTCTTGCAATGTAAGGTTGCTTTGGCAAATGTCATATCCACGGGGAAGTACTTGATGATAGTCGATGGGTGGTAGGGACATCTGATTCCGGCTGTCCAGTTTGAAAAAGAGCACGCACACGCACACGCACGCACGCACACCTGCCCTGTCCTGTCCTGTAGAGCCACTGCCACAGGGGTCACGTGGGCCCCGGAGGGGCATCAGAGAGGAAGATGGAGCACGCAGCCTGATGACGCCGTAGATGGTGGGGCAAACGGAACCGGCGAGAACACACGCATACATGGCTGAACGAATTACGCTGCTGGGCAGTCGGGCGCGGGCCAGTCCTCGAGCACCGGTGACGACCGCGGCCTTGCACAGACCGAAAGCAGCGGGCACACACGCACACACACACACACACACACACACACACACACACACACACACACACACACACACACACACAAGCATGCCTCAGACCTTAGACATGCCCATCGCGGAAGCAATGATAGCGAACAGCTATGACACACACACAAGCACACACACACACACATACATACACACACGCACATCCATGTTGAATACCTACGGTAGAATATTTTTCGGAAATCAGCTTTATTGTTTTACCAACAAACAAGTCGAGGTCAATATCCTATTTACCACGATTCGGTCCTTCGGCCCTTTCTATTTTCTATAAATTTTCATGATTGCCATATCCCCTAAATTTGATTCTTGGGAGCTATTATAGCCATTTTAGTATAGCTTTGTACCATAGTGTACACAGGATGTTGCATAATTTAGGTTCAAGACTGTAAGAACAACATAGTTCAGCATCTGCGGCACAGTGGCTGGGTGGTATATGCGGTTGCTTAAGATAGATACTTTTGTGGGTTCGAATTCTGCTTGTTCTCTTCCTTTGTCTTCTTTCTTTCAAATTTTCTTGCTGAAGTGGAGAGAAATTTTTTAAGTCCCTACAAAGTCGAAGGATTTCAATGCCTGAGTGGTCGATATAAACAGTCGATACAAGCGGTCGATATTACGGCAATATGGGTAATATAGGACCAGCCAAGGATCACACGAATTAAGGTCGATTCATACGTCATTTCGAGTACCGGAAAAGCGTTGCAAATAAAGTTGATCTGAGCTCAACTATTTCCTGTACGCGAAATGAAGTATGAATCGGCCTTAAAGGGGAAGTTAAGGCAAAAATTAAAATTTCACCAGTTGTAGTCTTCGGGGTGCTGAGTCGAATGGTCTTGGTCCGAGAAAGCTGAGACCTTCCGTTCCTACTTGAATCCCAATCGAACTCGCGCACTTCCACCGAAACTGGGTGACTGCGCCCTACTAGATGGGGATTTGTATGCAAAATGTCACTAAAAGCGCCATTTCGTTCTTATAAAAGCACGGATGACCACGATTGGCCCATATGTTGTAGTCTTTTGGACGCTGAGTCGACTGGTTTTGGTCCGAAAAGGCTGCGATGCAGCGTTCCTCCTTTATTCCCAATTGAACATGGTTGAACAAGCGGTCACGTGCTCCTGGGTGCCCAAATCAGCTGGTCACCACGCTAGCGGGCGACAACTTTCACACCAAGATTCAACTCGAGTTCAACTCGAGTGACAGGACTGCACCCAAAAAAGGTCAAACAGGCTAGTAAGTTGTACCCTGCAGGCACGGTGACCAGGTGACTGGTGTACGCAGGAGCACGTGACCACTTGTTCGACCATGTTCGATTGGGAATAAAGGAGGAACGCTGCATCGCAGCCTTTTCGGACCAAAACCAGTCGACTCAGCATCCAAAAGACTACAACATATGGGCCAATCGCGGTCATCCGTGCTTTTATAAGAACGAAAGGGCGCTTTTAGTGACATTTTGCATACAAATCCCCATCTAGCAGGGCGCAGTCACCCAGTTTCGGTGGAAGTGCGCGAGTTCGATTGGGATTCAAGTAGGAAGGGAGCGTCTCAGCTTCCTCGGACCAAGACCATTCGACTCAGCACCCCGAAGACTACAACTGGTGAAATTTTAATTTTTGCCTTAACTTCCCCTTTAAGGCTTTGTTTACATAAGGCGTTTCAATCAGGGTTGAGTTCGGGCCAAGTTTCAACCCGGGTTGAGTCGGGCCAAGTTACAACCTGCCATGAACACCGATTGACTGCCATGTTTACATGACGCCCTGCGCTTGACCCGAGTTGAATATTTGCCCCGGGCTGATTCCAACCCTCCCCCAAGGAGAGGACTGAAATCAACCCGGGCAAGAAATCGTACTAAGGGGAGGGTTGAAATCAACCCCGAGTCAGAAATCGCACTAACGTACTTCTTTGTGTGTCTCGTGCCAGGTTTGAATCACTGCACATGCAAATTTCGCGCGAAAGGATTCAAGTGACCATACAGGACTCTAGAAGTGGACTTTTGGCAGCAAATCAGTAATTTACCTGGGTCAACTGTCTTCATGCAAACACACACCTATTTTTCCATCATAAAGACTTTCAACCCGGGCTGAACTCGACCCGGGTTCAAAATTCTCATGTAAATGCAGCCTTAGTGGATGGCAATATAGAAGAGTGATGAACCCGATGCGCTAAGGTTTATATTTCACGTAAAAGCGTACTAGTGGAATGTATTCTACTTATGCTGACCGTCTTACAAACTGACAGTCAACTCCTCTTAGGCCAGCTTTAACCCCGGGGCAACGGTATATATGGGGTTTATACGAGGTTTATATTGAGCTGGGGTTTATATGCCCAATATAAATCAGGAGCATGATGGAGAAGTTGCCTGGACGTTTGTATGAAAGGTCAATAAAACGACTCCCACAAGCAGCATACCGTCTAACACATCTAGAGAAGAATACAATCTACAGCTCTGGGTGGAATGAATAGAACGTATCAACCAAAAGAGGAAGTTTCTACCAAGATCTGATAGGTCAAAAGCAGACGTCACCCTGCTTTTCCCTGTGAAACAACTGGCCAAAACTCGGCACCGGGAAAAAAACAATACCAAACCCAAAGCCCACGTAAAAGTGGAAAAAAACTGTGGCAATAGGGGTGGGGTGGAATTCTATCGTTGTCATACTATTGTCATACTTACGTATAGTTGGCGAGGCATCAAAGAACGAGGCTGTACATACAGGAGAGCAGAAAATGAGCTTTACTATTATTATTGTAGAAAGGAAAAGGACATATGGATACGAGTTAAGAGTAACTCTCCATCACTGTATCTCTCCATCACTGTGCCTAGTTATTGTACTTTCTGACTGTATATAGTATCATGTTACAGTGATGGAGAGTTACTCTTAACTCGTATCCATAATGTCCTTTTCCTTTCCACATTTATTTATGGCTCAACATCCGAGTTTCAAATTGCACACTATTATTATTATTATTATTATTATTATATCTCCACCAAGCTCTCGCAGCCTTATCCCCTCGTGATGGGAAAGCTGCGGACGGACCTGGCTTTCAGCCTTGTCCGCGACTCCGTCCTGATGGTTCGTGGGAGTCGCCGTGCATTCCGTGCACCTGGTCTGGCGGCGGATGTGGATGCTGTTTCTGTGGAGGCCCGCATTCCCGCCACTACGTGACGCTAAGTCCTCCTGGGGTTTGCCGCTCTCCGGTCCTCTTTCATCCCGTTCTCCCCTCTTTTTTGGGGATTCTTTGTACTTCGCCTTTCTTGTTTTCCTTGTTCCTTTGTTTTTTGTAGGACAGATTTTTGGTGTACTGATTTCGGTCGTTGTTGTGTCTGACTCTATTCCCAATATCTAATTCTGTGGTTGGTTTTCCAACTCATTGGGTTGTAGTTTCCATCATGAGTTTGATTCCATCGTGAGTTTGATTCCATCGTGAGTTTTGATTCTATTTGCTATTTTTCGTTCCATTTTTGAGCTCATATTTTATTTTCCTGATTTCTTCTCCAGTGTATGTTGTATTGCATTTTAATACATTGTGTTAATTTTTGCCCGTAAAAGAGGCTTGCACCATTATTATTATTATTATTATTATTATTATTATACTCATAAAAAGGACACACTTCAGGCTCATTACAAACATCTTGAAAGTTTTTGTCTTCACAAGTATACTTTCAAGCCTTCTCATCAGGTGAAATACAGGCAAGGGAAAAGGAACAGGAACAGTGGATGAAATACAGTAAGAAGGTGGTAAAACAGCGCAAAAAGAAAGAAAGAAAGAAAGAAGATAGCTAAAGTAAACAGCGAAAATTGCAATAATGACACAAAGGTGCAAATGCGAGAAAACTCAATAAGCGCGACATGTAGTGCGACAACAAGAGACAACCACTGGACCGTTAGTTACATGTATGTCCAGTGGTTGTCTCTTGTTGTCGCACTACATGTCGCGCTTATTGAGTTTTCTCGCATTTGCACCTTTGTGTCATTATTGCAATTTTCGCTGTTTACTTTAGCTATCTTCTTTCTTTCTTTCTTTCTTTCTTTTTGCGCTGTTTTACCACCTTCTTACTGTATTTAATCCACTGTTCCTGTTCCTTTTCCCTTGCCTGTATTTCACCTGATGAGAAGGCTTGAAAGTATACTTGTGAAGACAAAAACTTTCAAGATGTTTGTAATGAGCCTGAAGTGTGTCCTTTTTATGAGTATTATCGCATTTTTGTCTCAGAGGAAACTGTATTATTATTATTATTATTATTATTTTACAAGAAGTCGGAGGCGGATAATACTTTAGTAACGAAGGTACGTGTTGGGTCGTAAGTATCCACGCAAACACACATCCAGTCAAAATAAGGCACTTGTCTAAGTATCCGAACGTTTTCGGTCCCTTCTCATCAAGGATTATACAGGGAATGGCTCAAGTTGGAAAGACTAAAACTTATATAGCGTAAAGATATGAGATAACAACACTCGTGACAAGGTGGAAAAAGTATCAAGTTCAGTACGACACAAAAACTCGAAGGAAATAATAATAGCGACAAGAACATAGTGAGCAAATTAAGTTACATTGTTAACACCTCGACGAGGAGTAACACCAAACAATTGTAGCGACAACACATTTTCTTTCTGTACTCAAAGTTCAGGATCTAACTTACGGATATACATAGCTTCTAACACAGCCAGATGCAACGCACATCTACCACGTGACAATATTGAGAACACATTATCACTGTACAACTCACGACAATTGGTACGGGCTGACAGATGTTGCTTAATGGACGAAGTGCAATTCTTAGCTCCGTTGGGTGTAGTCTCCTCCAATGTCCCGTCATCTCGCCTCTTCGCGGCATCACCACTATCCGCCTCTTTGCTTTTCCGCGGCCTTCCACGTTTTCTGACACCAGCCGTTGTGTGCGCTATGCCCAGTGTCCTTTCAGCTACGTCTCCTCCATTGCGGATTTCTATTGATCTTCTTACTCCAACTTGTCCGGTGCTCGATATTGAGGTTCGTTTTCGCGGTCTACCACGTTTTCGAATATTGACTGTTGTTGTCACTTCCGTTGTCGTTGTACGTGCGTCCTCACCAGTCCGTATTTTTACTTGGCTTCGCGTAACCCTTCCCGACGCAGACAGATCCTTTGTCAATTTCGGTGGTTTACGTGTCGGTCTTTCACCATCTTTCACGCTGTTCTCAGCTGGACCCTGCGCTATACACGCGGAGGAGGACGGGCATGCAGTGATATCTTCACAGGAAGGGGAAGATCCACCGATGGACTGGACAGCACATTTTGGAGGACGATAACGGCGAGGACGACACTCACGCGCATCAAGCGGAACAAAACTTAACGGCACATGTTGACGAATGCGCGCGCCCAGGGGCTGAAGGGTTCTACCTACATACCGATCTTCACATTGTCGGCATTGAAAGAAATAGATAAGGTTACTTTTACTAAGGGTAGGTAGAACATCCTTCTTCACACTGAACGCACGCACTGTCCCAAATATGACGTACAGCTTGACGCACGGATAAGATGGACATACGATACCACGAACATCCTTCTCCACGCGCGCAGAACCGGCGCCAACCCAGGGTAAACGGAGCACCACTGGGCAAAGGTCAGGTCCAAATTGGATCGGCTTGTCTGTCGCCGGTTTTTCGTTGATAAGCTTGGCCAGAAATTCCTTTGGATAGCCGTTGTTCGTAAATATTGACGTCAGTCTGTCTAATTCGTCCTGCAATAGATGAGGGGAACATATTCTATGCGCACGATAAACTAGCGCTTTCACAAGATGTTTCTTCGATTTCGTTGGAGTATAGCGAAGGATGTTCTACCTACCCTAAGTAAAAGTAACCTTATCTATTTCTTTCAATGCCGACATTGTGAAGATCGGTATGTAGGTAGAACCCTTCAGCACCTGGGCGCGCGCATTCGTCAACATGTGCCGTTAAGTTTTGTTCCGCTTGATGCGCGTGAGTGTCGTCCTCGCCGTGGTCGTCCTCCAAAATGTGCTGTCCAGTCCATCGGTGGATCTTCCTCTTCCTGTGAAGATATCACTGCATGCCCGTCCTCCTCCGCGTGTATAGCGCAGGGTCCAGCTGAGAACAGCGTGAAAGATGGTGAAAGACCGACACGTAAACCACCGAAATTGACAAAGGATCTGTCTGCGTCGGGAAGGGTTACGCGAAGCCAAGTAAAAATACGGACTGGTGAGGACGCACGTACAACGACAACGGAAGTGACAACAACAGTCAATATTCGAAAACGTGGTAGACCGCGAAAACGAACCTCAATATCGAGCACCGGACAAGTTGGAGTAAGAAGATCAATAGAAATCCGCAATGGAGGAGACGTAGCTGAAAGGACACTGGGCATAGCGCACACAACGGCTGGTGTCAGAAAACGTGGAAGGCCGCGGAAAAGCAAAGAGGCGGATAGTGGTGATGCCGCGAAGAGGCGAGATGACGGGACATTGGAGGAGACTACACCCAACGGAGCTAAGAATCGCACTTCGTCCATTAAGCAACATCTGTCAGCCCGTACCAATTGTCGTGAGTTGTACAGTGATAATGTGTTCTCAATATTGTCACGTGGTAGATGTGCGTTGCATCTGGCTGTGTTAGAAGCTTTGTATATCCGTAAGTTAGATCCTGAACTTTGCGTACAGAAAGAAAATGTGTTGTCGCTACAATTGTTTGGTGTTACTCCTCGTCGAGGTGTTAACAATGTAACTTAATTTGCTCACTATGTTCTTGTCGCTATTATTATTTCCTTCGAGTTTTTGTGTCGTGCTGAACTTGATACTTTTTCCACCTTGTCACGAGTGTTGTTATCTCATATCTTTACGCTATATAAGTTTTAGTCTTTCCAACTTGAGCCATTCCCTGTATAATCCTTGATGAGAAGGGACCGAAAACGTTCGGATACTTTGACAAGTGCCTTATTTTGACTGGATGTGTGTTTGCGTGGATACTTACGACCCAACACGTACCTTCGTTACTAAATTATTATTATTATTATTATTCAAAGGATCAGTCGGGGAAGTGAACTGCCTGAAAAGAGAAAAGAACGCCAGACCCACCAGGACTCGAACCTGGGACCCTGCTTGTCATGAGCAATGCTCTAACCACTGAGCTATGGGACCAGGCTGAACCTAGAAGGCGCTGACAAGTTTTTCACTCCAAAGGCAGCTCACAACACGTGCCACACATACTGATGGCACTTGGGTCTTTTTCCCTCCCCCAGGGGACCAACCACGGTCAGTTTCTGGAAACTACCAGAGGTGAAAGAAAGTGATTAAATTTGGAAAGGATGGGAGAACTTCAAATTCAAAGGATCAGTCGGGGAAGTGAACTGCCTGAAAAGAGAAAAAAACGCCAGACCCACCAGGACTCGAACCTGGGACCCTGCTTGTCATGAGCAATGCTCTAACCACTGAGCTATGGGACCAGGCTGAACCTAGAAGGCGCTGACAAGTTTTTCACTCCAAAGGCAGCTCACAACACGTGCCACACATACTGATGGCACTTGGGTCTTTTTCCCTCCCCCAGGGGACCAACCACGGTCAGTTTCTGGAAACTACCAGAGGTGAAAGAAAGTGATTAAATTTGGAAAGGATGGGAGAACTTCAAATTCAAAGGATCAGTCGGGGAAGTGAACTGCCTGAAAAGAGAAAAAAACGCCAGACCCACCAGGACTCGAACCTGGGACCCTGCTTG